GGGGGGGTGTTTGTGCTCGCGCGTGCTCCTATATGTCGCCTTTGCGTGTGTGCAAGAATCTGTCACGTACTCACTTTATTTTATTAGTTTATGGCATACACCGTTAGATTGAATGCCCTTTTCTTTTTTCCTGTCTTTTCAGGGATTTGAAGATGGAAAACATCATGCTGGACACCCCAAAGAAGAACATAAAGCTTGTGGGTGAGTTGAATAAATTCCTAATCTACCCTCAAGACTGTAACCCTTTTCTCAATCTTCCTCCCTTACACCTTTCATCGACGAAAAAAAGCACCATTAGAGAAGGAGTGAACTGTTTGGATGATGATTTATATTAAAATATGAAAATTCCTTTTTTTCTGCTGATTTTACTGTTATTGTTGGTGATGGTGGTGTTATTGTGCAAAGGGAAAGAACTGACCTAAAACATTATTAAAGTTAGAATGCAAACATTAATTTTATGGTCAAAGGGAAATAATTCAGTATATTTAATATGGGAGGTAATTCCAAAAACATAATAATATTTTTTTGTTTCCTGTTACTGATTTTGAAATCGTCCGAAAAAATATTGAGTAGATCTTGGTCTACGAGTATACAAGAAGGCCTAGTTTTTCCTTTTTCAACTGTCCATCGGTAACAATGATGACTGTGGTTGTGGTTTTAGTACAGCCACGAGGAATTGGCATGTAGAAACTTGAATGATACGGTCGTTTTCTTTTGAATTTCAGTTTACACTTCCTTTGTGAAGGGAAGGGAAAGCAGGGGGTTATGGCGTAAATTTTGATGTGTATTCTATTCTGCAGATTTTGGTCTTAGCAACACGTTCGCCAAAGATGAGCTGATGAAGACTCACTGCGGATCTCCGGAGTACGCAGCCCCGGAACTCTTCACAGCTGGAGAGAAATACGGCCTTGAGATTGACGTCTGGAGTTTGTACGTCACTTTGGCAGTTATCTGTTGTCATCTTTTATGATGATGATGATGATGATGATGTAGATCTAGTATAGATTATTCAGTTAAGGGACAATTATCTCGATTCGTAATCGTTGTGTTTTAATTATGGTGCCGAAGACAATTTAGCTAACCAAAAATATTCTGTCGCTAGTGGTTGGAGGGCAGAAGGTCTACTGAGACTTCTTACTTCTCATCTGTCCTGCAAGTATATATAATTTGTTATTAGATCTAGTTTTTGTCTGTAGTTCTGCTCTTATTAATTGTATATTTTTCCAGATTTGAAAAAACTGAAATTGTGTCTACGCTCCACTCTGTAGTTTAAAAAACCAATTGGTCCCTTTTAAAGACAAGGGGGCTAACCCAGATTTTGGGGGGTTTCCAGAAATCTTGACCTATCCCAAAAGGGGGCATTGCCTTACCTATAGGGGAAGCTTGGTTTCATTGGTGTGTTTGTTTGGTCATAGAGAAAACTTTCCTGGTCTTTTAAAGAAACTAAACAATGGTCCAAAACCTTTACCTTGGATTTTCTCAACACAGCATTTTTCGGGATAGCCCCTTTGTACTTAAGAGCAACCAATTAACGGGTGTCATCAATTAATGTTCCGTATACCATGTATGGAATGATATTTAGTGTGAGATGTTTTTAAAATTTTTGGTAATTTTTTTTTTAAGGAGGGAAAGGAGGGGGGGGGGGGGGTAGCCCATAGTAAAGGGCTTGAATTTTTTTTTATTTGAAAAAAGAATTAAATCAGCATATATTCTTCCTTCAAAGAATTTGAAACTTTAAAGAACTTAATTATAGAGCTTAGCGCAGGCCTTTGTCCACACCTGCTGACTCCAATGTTATCGCCTAGATCTATATTGCATCAATGTAAGCAGGCCAACACTTGTGAGGCTTGCTGACAAAGTTACTTCTCACAATCCGCAAATGGAGATACTGGCCAAAAGTCAATACAAGGCTCAAATTTGTAGATTTTCTATTGATGCTATATTTCTTTAAGTATAACATGCCTTTTGTTATTTTACACGTATAAATTGTCAAAACTTAACCTGTAAGCGTGATTTATCAATTTCCATACGGCTCGAATCCGAGAAGCAACTCATTTTGTCATCACGCTATACAAACTGACAATTGATAATTTTCTCGAAAAAAAAAAAATCTGGTATGTTGTGAAATGTTGTTACCACAGTTGATTTGTAACTTATGGGCGGGCTACATTGTTATAACAACATGACAATGTATGTTTTGCCAGAAAGGTTTTGAGAGAGAAGACTAATGGTTAAGTGAAATAAAAGGAACAGACTACATAAAAACACAAATCACTAACTTGTATCTGCTCTGAGATATAGGCTTATGTCTACTTGTGCTTCAGGAAAAAAGGGGCATACCCTGAACAAGGGCTTGAGAGCTGAAAACAGTGGCAGGGATGTAGGTTGACAATAGAAAAGGAAACGTAGAGGCTGCGGAGCAAACCATCAATTACAAAAAAAAAATTGCAGCATTAGGCCTATTTTTATTATTATTATTATTATTATTATTATTATTATTATTATTATTATTATTATTATTATTATTATTATTATTATTATTAATATTATTATTGTTACTGTTATTGTTATTATTATCATTATTATTATTATTATTATTATTATTATTATTATTATTATTATTATTATTATTACAATTATTATAATTTCTGTTTCCGCGATAACGGACACTTTTTTTAAAAAATGGGATAACATTGAAGAAAACTAAATATAAAAGAGAAGGAGTTCATTTTTAAAAAGTTAGTAGGCCTACCCTTTTCTAAGTATCCTCTCAGAGACCCTTCGCCAATTTCTGTTGAAAATGTGAAATGCAGCCTTTTCAGTTTTCATTCAAGGTGCTAATGTTTCCCTTTTCCAGAGGTGTTGTGATGTATGCCATGTTGGTGGGAAAGCTTCCTTTCACCACACCTTATACTGACCAGTACAGAAGGCAAAAGCTGGTACAACAGATGGAGAAAGGCTTGGTGGAAGTCCACAACCAGGAGATGATGCATCTGTCTGTTGGTAAGCTTGGGGGTTTTTTCCCCCAGTTTTCTGAAGATAAATTTAAATTTATGCTCCAGCTTAAATAACTCTCATGGCAGCTCTATTCTTGCCTTGAACTATTTTTACACTTTAATTTAATTTTTGTGAGCAGCCCCAGCCTTTTGCTTTAGCTCAGGAATACATTCCGTCATACCTGTTCAAAATGACCACCTACGATGGAGGAGAAATGTGGTCACTTTTGACAGGTGGTCCTCTTGCACTGTACCATTATAATATATAAAAAAACCCAGGGTGGATTTGTACAGGTGGTGTGTCTTGGACAGGTGGTTATTAGAGCAGATTTGACTATATTTATATAATAAAGGTATATCATATATTGTTTCTATATATATATATATGTTTGTTCATTTCTTAATTTAAAGAGTGATTTTATTCAAATTTTTCATTTTTATTATTTTGACATGGAGTTGGAAATAGAGGTAATGAGAAGTCCTTCCCCTCCCAGCAAAAAAAACCTAACAAACAACAATCAAATTTGAATCTAGCTAATTAAGCTACTTTTGGCTAAGTTGGGTTTTTTTAAAGCTTTAAACAGTGCAACTTAAATGGGAACCGTAGAATTTACACTTCAAGTGCAGATAGTATTTTTAAGGACTCGACACTCTTAGATTTTCCCACATTTATTATTCGTTCAAATGCCTTTTGTTTTAATATTTCAGATTGTCAAGATTTGTTGCATAAAGTGATAGAACCTTCACCATCCATACGCCTTCCTTTGTTAGACATGGAAATACATTCTTGGCTGACAGAGAACGGCAAAAAGCCTTTTGTGCCCTTTCAGAGCTTTCCTCGTGACAAAAACATGAAATCTCAGGTACAGTAAGCTCAAGTTTTGAGTCTCTGACTGATTTAGCTTTGCTATCTTGACCTTAGCTTCTTTGCTACTGTTGTTTGCAAAGCGTTTTTTTTTAAAGTATAACTTGAATGCAATCATTTCAGGCCTATATTACAGATATTTGGGCTCAACTTTTTAGTAGGTGATCAGTTCTCAGAATCAAAGCTGAATGTCTATGCAAAGTACAACAGCAACTTTTAAATATTCCTCTTACCCATAACAAATTGTGATGAGGCAGATTACAAGGTGGAAGAGACCTTATACCATTGAAAGCATGCATTGATATCTGTAATGAGTCCTGAATGTAAGACATAGCCTGGAAGGAGTAGCTGTCTAGCTTTTGCAAAGACAGTGAGGCACAAAGAAGATTCAGTAGAGATACTTTTTTTCCAGCAAGCAAATACTGGAAGTTATATTACAATATATACCGAATGCTGAATTGAAAATGTGCTTCAGTGTTTTTGTTGTGTTCAGTAGTTTGCTCCTCTATCAGCTTTATTGTTCCAGTTTCCATAACTGCTTATTTTAAACTTATTTTCAGTAATACATTAATAATATGTGAAACCATGTGCATTATCCAAACACAACAGCGAAGTTACTGAGAAAATGAGTTTCCTTTTAATTTCTATCCCTTTTTTTTGGGTAGTGATCATGAAGTATTTCAAGTTTACTGAATTCTTATCTAAACTCTTTGCTAAGTGTAAGCTACACTATAGTTCAGGAAAAGTAAATGTAATCTATCTTTAGAAGTTGGAAACAATATTAACATCATAATAAAGGAGATTCAACATTTATTTTGATCATGAGAGAGAAATACAGACACCAAGAAAAATGTGTTTTCCCCCTATGTTTTTCTATTTTGCAATCAATTATAGCAATTATTAAAATTTTTGTTAGTGTTGTGTTTTAAAGACTGGTCTCTGTAGTGAGGCAAGGCCAGTCTAATTGTTGTGGTTTCAGGTACATTTTCATACGATTACCATTTGACATCTATGTAGAAAGTTTTCTTTATTGTTTAATGACCTTTCCCATTCAAAATGGTACAATATTCTAGGCAGTCATTCTCGATCATTAATGGGTTAAGGCTCCATTCATTTATCATTATAATGCAATTTTGGAGGTATATATAGATATATAACTGTTCGATTTGTTTTTCTCATTTTTAGTTTTCATGTATTGATGAAAATTATGTGGAGTTCAGGCTAATTAATATTCAATTCAATTTATCAACTCTGTTTACTGCAAGCTGTGCTTTATTTGGTTTGTTTGTGATACTGCACTTTTATTTTTAAAATCTAGACAGAGGTATTCAAGCTTCAGATTTCACCCTAAGATAATTATGTGGCTTCAGTAAAAGTCGTAAACTTACCTGAAAGTGGAGTTTTAAATAATTCTGCATAGTGTCTTGGTATCAAAAGATTTGTGCGCAATGAAGCATAGTATTGCGTAGCATGAAAGAAAAGACTAGTTTTTTTATCTTTGATTTTTGTTGGCCTATGTTGAAATTTGATCTGTTTAAATCAAGTAGAAATGCAGATTTTAATCAATGTTATTTTTACTTTCACTTTTACTCGATTCAAGCGTCTAGATATTGCCACTGAAAATAACAATCTTTTTACTTGATACTACTTTTTACAATTTGTTGGTGTGCAGCAGCACCCTTTATCCTTTTCCTCTTCTCTGAGTTTATAAAGATGTGGAAATAAAGAATGGATGGAAAGAAGAACTTTTCAAAATGTTAAACAGTTATTAAACTTTTTGTAGTTTAAAATCTCATAGTTCCATCTGCTGGATTTTGTATTTTGTAGATTGCGGGGTAGGTAAACAGGGAAATAAACAGCAGATACCAGAATATACCAACCGTGCCAAATGTAGGAAAACTATTTTTTATAGCGAAGACTATAATGTATCATACTGTATTAGACTATATATAATCTTCGCTTTAAAAAATTATTTTTCTACGTTTCTCATGGTATCTGATATCTGCTGTTAATTGAGAGCAAATAGAAGGGTTTATATAAATATACAGATCTATTGAATATATATGCGTATACATGATATGAAAGGTGAGCAATACGTAGTTGTATGGATCTGTGTTGGTTCACAATGTTCACATGATGTCATCTGTTGTGTCCTTGCCTCGAGTCCTGCCTCTTGCAGGATTCTATCAGTAGTGCAGACGATGATGAGGTAACCCAACACTTTTGCTTTGACTTGTCCATTTCATTGAGTTTATGCAAGCTGCACTTCAGTACAGTCGAAACACTGTGTTTGAAATTAATACACATAGCTGTTGTTTGATATGCATCCCTTGTTAATACCAAGAAGTACATTTCTGGGTTGGATTCATATCTTTTTTTTTTGTCTGAGGGCTCTGTACTCAAGGACAGCTTGCAAAAAAAAAAGAAAAAAAAAGATTTCGGAGAGGCTATGAGGAAATGTTGGTCATCGTACCCTATGTCTAATTGTTTGTACAATACTGTGTTCCTTAGCAAGTATGATTTTTCTTTTTTTTCCGTTTCACTCCTAAGTTGGGACATACTGACATAGTATCTTCTGCTTCGCTACTGCTATGTGTCCTCTTGGCTTTTTACCCTGTGCTAAACTGAAAATTATATTATTATTAACGCATTTGTGAAAAATGTAATTCGCTGCGGTTTCTCAGACGATCAGGATGAGTGGATTCTGAAGGAAAGATGTGTTCAGTTTGAAAAGTACTTATAATATAATTCAATGGCACTGATCATGGTGGAAGCAAACTGCTAAGGAACAACAGTTACAGAAATGTCTTTGTTCATCATTGTCATGATATGCCTTCAGTTTTCCACAAGGCCAGGATCTAGGCACCTCTTATGTTCTATGTTCAGGTGTTCTACTCTCTATTTTGTGAGATCATCATGCTTTTAGGACTTGATCAGCCAAACGGTTTGCACTAGCTGAAAAAGAACTTCAGCTGCTTTGTTCTACTAATTGTGTTCAAGTCAGTGGACAGTGTTTCATGTTTGACTTCAACGATTTGGTGTTTAGTTTTAGATCATGAATTTACATATTATATGGATGACATTGTCTCTTTTCCAAAAGAGATGTTTCAATAACCATAGTATTTCTGGTATATTCATCTTTACCTGAATGCTCATAAATCTATGCTTGCCAGCCTGTGTAGTGGATGCTCTTGCTGTGTGGGAGATTTTGGATGCTTGCATTCTGCTCACACAAATTTGTATACATCTTTGCATCTTGGAATTTTGGTTGAGTTTTATTTTCTCCAAGTCTGTGTTTACATTAGGTTTGTATTTAGGTTGCCACATTTTGTCTTTGTTTGTAACGCGAGATTTCAATTATAGAGAAAAAAAAAATGATGGGAGCGGAGAGGGGGATAGCTTTAGTATGGTTTAGTCTTATAGTGACTGTGGCTGTTGGTCCCTAATGGTGAGAACTTGTTTGTTGCGTAAGTTTTAACAACATTGATAAGTAATCCCACTTTTGTTTTAAAATCTGCTCTTGCTAGAATAGAAAGGGCCATTATTATAGCTTCGTTATATTTATTTTTTCTCTTGTTTTCTTATTTTACTTTCTTATTTCACTTTGGGTTTGTTTTTAGCTTGCTGATTGATTTGTTTCCTTTGTGTTGTTTTTTAACATTAATTTGTGTTAGTGTGTTCATATGTTGATGCAGAAGTAAACGGATAATGGGTAGGAACGGGTGAGCAGTGTACATCTTTAGAGCTTAATTGATATGGCAAAAAGTGTTTTACTTTTTTTTACCTACACAAAAGTGTGGAAGAACCGATTGTAAACAAAAAGCGGCGTTCTCATTTGCTTTTCTTTTGACTTAGAGGGCATGTTATGAACTCTTATTGCTTGTTTGTGGGTCCTCAGTGTCTGAGGATCAAGTGCACTTTTTAAACAGTACAATTTCTCTCACTCTGGGACTGTGTCTTTCTTTTCTTTCCCTCTCGGTATGAAAATATGTGCAAGATAAGTCAATGAATTATAGGTTTATATATGAGGCTTAACAAATAACGATATTCCTGGTAATGCAATAAGATCTGGTATCTGAAATCCCACAGGCATTCTTTTGCTTCTGTGATTTTTTAATGTTCTGGGGGTCCATGCCGTGGTCAACATTTTTCTTCCAGTTTATATCTGGGGATAGCGTATGCAATAAAATAGGATAATAATGTTAATGTAAGCTTTTTTAAAGCTAAATCACTATAAGAAACCCGTGATATGTATCATTAGATTGATTTTTGCTTTCAAAAATGTCTGTTAAAGCCCCAAATGTTACCTAATGTATCTCAAAAGTCTAGTCTTTCACAGTGAAAACCCAAGGACAATCTGAACGTTCCATGTTTTTTGTCTTACATATCAAAATACAGTTTCAAGTGATATCAACTTCTTTGTTTTATCATATTTTATAAATTCTTACCTAAAATATGTTTTGTTTTCACTCGACAGACAATAGTTTTCCTTTTATCACAATTTCCTGTTGCTGTTTTCACCCACCCCAGTTCTTTTTGAAGTAGATAAGTCATCCGCGGTTTTCTCAACACAAGTTTCAATTTCTATGGTCTTATTTCGTTTTTTTCTTATCATTGACTAAAGAAGTTTCTTGTTCTGTATTTTTGTTTTTCAGGCCATTGAGGAATTAGCAGTTGCCTTAAACATGAAGAAAGAGGTGGTGGACCAGAAAGTCGCAGAGAACAAATCAGATGAAATGTCTGCGATGTTCAATATGATATTAGATAGAAAACGGCAACAGCAAGGTAGGGACGCTATTTCACAAGGTATACTTCTGTTACTGCTACTTACTCAATTTTCATAACCTTATGAAATTACAATGTAAAGCAGAGTTATTCTGGTACATAATTTTTCATTCATCCATAATAGGAAATTTGAATTATTTTTTTGGGTCCCAAGACAATTAAGTATCTACAGAGCGTTATTTTCACCCTTTTTCTTAGTATTATGATTAATATTGTGTATTTGAAGTCTAATGACGTGTATAGTTGTTCAAACTTCTCTGTTTGAGCCAGCATTTTTTGTTCAAATTATCACTTGTTCATCTTAGTGTAAAGTTGCTTATTCAGGCCCTCTATGTTCTAATTTATCTGTAAGAGTTGAAGGTTAAACATTTGCAAATAATTGCCCTCTCATTTTTACTTGCTTTTGGTTGTTTGAGGGCACCATTAAAAGGCTTCTTTTCTGTTCCGTCGTTGTTTCTGTGCTTTTGTCTTGCTCTTCCTCATATGTCGTTGATTGCTGTGTTGATATGCATCTCTTTACTCAAGCAAAGTCTCGGTCTATTTGTCTAGGTGTGTTTGATGTTGATCATACACTGAAGAATGAGAAGAAGGAGCAGCGTGCCAAGAGGTCCAAGTCAGCTCATGCCAGATCTGGAGATAAGAAACATGGTCTGAGAGATTCGCCATTCCTTTCGTCTAATTATAATTTTTTTTTCTCACCTTTTTAGATTAGTGCATGACTTTAATTTTAATGTATACTGCTGCTATTCTAATAGAACAGCAGATAATGCTGATGAATATAGAAACTTTCCTCTCTGAAGAACTACATACAAAACTCTTTAATTACATTCCCTTTTCAAATAATGGAATTATGTATTCTAACCTATGCTGTGGCTATTGTTACTGAACAGCCAATAATGCAGATCTTTTAATAGTAGTCCTTTTGGGGGGAAAAGTTCGTGAAAACTGTCTTTTAGTGTAAGTCCTGCTCTCTTATTTTTTTCTTATTTTCTTAACTGCAACAACTGATGTGACTGACTGTAATTTGCTGGGAAGTTCTGTTATATTTATACCTTCAATTATTAAAAGTGAATTTTTGAGTTTTAAATGGGAAGGGCGAAAAAGAAGCCCACTTGATTTTTTAAATTTTATTGGCCCTCTACCTTTATCATTAGTTATGAGTATTATATTTTCCTGAAATGTTGAGGAGCTGTGATTGTTCTTATTTTTCTTACAGTGTATTTCAATAAGACTTTTAGCTCAATTCTTTCAACCAACGTGGGGTGCAATTGTTAGACTATTTGCTGTTGTACTCTAAAAATATGAGACCAGTTTCCTTTTGATTAAGTTGTTTTATCGAGTATCTCTATTTGTCTGGTGGTATGTCATATCCCAGGCAGGGTCAAATAATCATGCTTTTTGAATGAACTATATTGTGAAGATGGAGGGGGAGGGGGGGGGTTTAAGACATTTATAATATCTTTTTTTAATAATTATTTACAACTCTTCCATTCGCTCTATTTCAGTGACACCTCCAGCATTACTGTTGCCGTCAGACGACATGAATATGGAATCAGCTCCACACAGCGGCAATGAACAAGACCATGAGACAAAGTTCAGTTCCTTTGACTTCCTTGCACTGTGCAGCACTCCCACCTGGCTGGGTCCAGAACGACGCAAGTCTCGCAGACGGTCCAGGTCACCCATGCCTTCCCCACATTTGCAGCAGCATGGGACCCAGGGTGTAAGTCATCCGTTCTACTTTAGATTTAGTATCTCTCGCAGAATGTTGTGCAGATAATGCAGTAAAATATGACATATGTACCTAACGGGGCGAGAAAAAAAATGCACCCACAATGTCAGGTTATATTTTTGTTTCAAAGAAACGATCTTTGAATGAGTATTATATTCCTATAGCAAACTTATGTCTTTACTTTTTCTAAAGGGGAAGGGGGGGGGGGGTGATCTTTAGACAACACTCTTCATAATAACTTACTCCAAGTGGATACACACAACTGGTTAAGCTTTGAATTATTTTTGGCTCTCAGTTTTTAATAGGAAAACATTCCCTCCTTTGTAACCGTTACCGATATTCTGTGTGGGACTGAAGTGTCAGCTTTTCTCAGACTTAATTTGTTTAGCATAACTCTATGCTACAACAAGTCATACTAACTGTCTCTATCCAGCTTCATGCCTGCCTGTGTGTGTGTGCGTGCGTGTGTGTGTGTGTGTGTGTGTGTGTGTGTGTGTGTGTGTGTGTGTGTGTCTATTTTGGAGCTACCATTCTTGAGCTTTATCTTTCCTCTTTCACTCCTCTTTTTATTTCATTTTTATTTATAAGCTCTTTTTATTTTCATCCATCTTTTTCAATCTATATCTGGCTCCCTTTCCAGTGAAGTTGGCACTTCAAGACTCAATCAAATGGCATATAATCGACCTCTGAAATATTTCAACAGTCTTCCTTTTATCCTTTCATGTAAATCCAATTGGCTTTAAATAAAGGCGAGTAAATTATGAAAAAGCCCTGTCAAAGTTTTCCCTCATTGAAACGAATACTAACTTTGATGAGAGGGAGAGCACCCTCTTATAGTTCAATTATATGAGTTCAGATTTTATACTCTAGAATGCTGGTTTGAGTCTTTTTATGGGTTATGGTGTACTGCATTTGGGTGGAAATTTTCTAACCTTCAACTGTTTGTTTTCCAATCATACAGTTATCAGTGAGAAACCAAATGAAGCGGGTACGGTATAAATCTTACATTAATAATACAATTTTCCTACTTTTATCATTGCATTCTGGTTGTTCAAATTATTCTCCTTCATTGTTCATATATACTCAGTATAATCATTAATATAACCAATGTATACAGCTGTACTCTACTTCATATAAAATGTATTTTTTTCTGTCCTTCTTTTTTCTATTTTGGTGTGCATAATGGCTTACTTTTCTTGGACTGTAGTCTACTTGTACTTCTTAAAAGTACTCAGCAATATCATATAGCGAAGCTTGTTGGCAAATTTTAACCTCTCACTTTCTTGTACCAAGTCTTGTTTTATGGAAGCTTAAAGGTGTATTTAGGCAATTTGGTAGTATCCATCGATTTCGAGATTTTTTTTTGCGTTTCATTTACTTACTAAGTAGTGATAATTCTTTGCTAAAAATGAGTAGTAGTTTTTCTGAAAGGTTTCCTTGATGAAAGCTGTATGAAGCAATTGCTTCTTAACAGTCAAGAAAAAATGTTGGTCATTATTGCTGATCAGAAGCGGTTTTAATCATCTACATTTTCTTCCCTGTCTATACAAATAAATTAAGGTTAATAGTAATTTAGGGAAGTAACATTTTATTTGGAAAGAGATTGCTTGAAAGTGATCCTACAGACTCATTTCATTCATAGAAAATCTTACTTTGAAATGATTTGCTGTGTCTATACCTTCTATTTGTGTTAAGATATAAAAGAATAAAAACGTTATCTCAACTAAAGGTTTCCCATAAATAAATATTTTGTAGACCTTGTTGTTTCGAGTGGATTTTGTCTTTAGAGGAGCAAAAGAGTTTTGTGGAGTTTTTTTGTCAATAATGAATGCTTGTTTTAGTCGGTCTTCCCCTTACCCCTTTCCTCTCCTCCAGCTCTGTCCATCTTCCTTTTTCTTCCTGTATCTTTCTTCCTTTCTCCAGTCCTCCCTTCCCTGTTTTGCTTTTATGTATATTTCATAAAAGGTATATCCTGATCGGTCTGTGCTTACTTTGTAAGTTCTTTAAATGTCTTCTCATCAGTTATAGGAATTCCTGGATTTTATCACGCGAATATAAGATTTGATTTAACTTGTGAAGGGGTTTACCAACTGGCTGAGGACTCACATCGTAATAGTTATTACATGTAACCTCTACACCTTCATTGCTTCAGTAGCTGTATAATTAGAAAGACTTTCATGACAACTAAAGAAGTAGAAAGTTATTTCTTTGGTAGTGTTTTTATTACCATAGTCTACTTCAGGAAGTATACATAATATTATCTCTTTTACTAGTAAAAAATATAGCCATAAATGTTTTACCTTTTTTTCTCAAATCTATGATGTTCTGTCTCTTGTGTGTCTCTTTCCCCCTTTAGCAAAGGGTATGACACAAGCAAAATATTAAAGTTTCTTGAATCTCAAACTAAAACTATCTTGAAGCTCATATATTTTAAGCTGTTTGCATAGAAAACTTAGTGTCGATTCCAAATTGTGAGAAATAACAATTTAAAAAAAAAAAAAGCTTCACCACTATGGAATTCTGATTTTGTTTCATCCCTGGAACTTAGCATTTATTTTTCATTGCACTTTGCTTTAAAAATACAACAAAATGCAATTAATGCACTGTCACTGTCTGCATAATTTGCTGGCTTAACACGTATATATTTCACACCTGAGCTAGTTTCAGAAGTATATGAAACATACATGCTTCTTTGTCGAATTAACTGTTTCTTTTGTTTCCCTATTGCATGTATCTCCTTTTACTTATTGCTCTTTTGATTGTGGTTTTTAGTGATTAATCTGTTCTAGTGACTCAACAGCTAAATATGTTAATGTGCCTGCGCTTATGTTTTTTCGTGGTTGTTGTTGATTTATGTGTGCTTAGCTTTTCTTGTCCTTCATAGCTGCTCATAGATCCTCTCAGTGGAGACATTGTTTTATGACAGTTTGCCAGCTGTTTGTTTGCGTAATTAATTAAATCTCATGTGCTTTTTTGTTTTGCCTTTTTTTTGTCATTTCCACTATAAAACCATTATAATTTAGAACTATTCAGCAAGTATTATGAGTTAAGGAATCAGAGAGTGTAGTCATCACTATGAACATTCTTATTAATAAAAGGGGACAATTTTAACAATTGACGTGTATTGTGAAGATTTTTATGAACAAAAAGGAGTAATTTTAACAATTAAAGTCTCTTCTGACAGATTGTAAAGTGTTTTCCATGGTTGATGAGATTTATTTATAAAATAAGTACACGTTCTCAAAAGCAAAAGTGAAGCTTGTGATTTGAAACAAATTTTCTGTGCCCGATGTTTTGTCAAGTAACACATTCCCAGATATTTATGAGTTTTAAAAAATACACAATTTTGATTAATCTGTTAAAAATATTTTACTTTTGAAATCAAATAATTCAACACATAATAATGTCAACTAGGATTGAATTTTGTTCCAATTTATTCCTACCTGTGGTTGTAGTGTGCCGTATCATGTTGTGTTGTGTGAACATGTGTAAAATTAAAGCTGTTACAGTCCGTTATTGAAAATTATAATGAACATGAATTTAACTAAAGTTACAAAACATGAATTCGTATCCTATGAAGTGACAGAAGATAATTGTTTGATACTGCATTGTGTTCTTCCATGACGAACAGAATTCATTTTTCTTTTAAAAAAATGATAAAATGTTTGCTTCATTATAAAGTTTGCCAATGAAACCTACCGTCTTCAGACCATGTTTTCATAAGCTCCATCTTTTGTGCATGGTGTTATTTTTACTAACTGCAGTTACATTAATTTTGAATGGCTTTTGATAATTTGACAATCTTTGATTACATCATAAAAGAAGTATGTTAGGTTTTTTTGTTGTATGAATTTTAAATTTGCACGCCTTGTGTTTTTGTGGTGGGACTGGGTTGTCTGAATTTTTCTAGTTCATTTTTGCTCTTCATGGGAGGTGGCAAGGGTGATTTCGGAGTTGCTTCTTTGCTCTTATGTTTAGGGAAATGAAGGAGTTGTGGAACTGGTGCTTGTTATGCTTGACTAAAATGTTCCTGGCTATAGTTCATAATTTCATAAAATTCGCTATCATAGAAGTGTAAGTTAACTATTCATGAGAAATAATCTTTTAATTCGTAAGGGAATATTTTGATCCTCATGCCTGCACTCTGTGTAAATGTATATGAGATCTGAGACTTTGAATATGACGGAGAGTTATGGGGAATCTTTCAAAAGTTATATTACTTGTTTGGTAACTTTTTTAATGATTTTGCTGGAATTTGCTTTTTATTATTATTGTTTGTTAGGGGTTTTTTTGTTTGTTTTTGGGTTTTTTTCTTTTTTGAGGGAGATATGGGGGGTATTTTTTAAGGAGAGAGGGGGGAGGGGGAGCTTTTTTTAAGGACGGAGAAGAGGGTTAAAATTGACTAAGCATGGATACAATGAATGGTATACAACTTATTTTTATGGTGGGACTTGTAGAACAAGTCAGTTTCCTCTGTTTATAGAAAGCAATCTTTCACTTCATAAGTAAAGTCTTGATCCTCCTACCTACACTCTATTTACCGTTATATTATAGATTTAATACCTTCACCAGTTCAGTGTAATGTTTGATGTATAAAGCAAGCCCGCTTGGCACACTTGCTTTAATAAGTTAATGTTCAGGAATTCACCTGGTCAAGCAGTTTACGGTAGGAAGCATCGTGTCATTGACTTCCTAAAAAGTAATAACAATATGTTATACATGAATAGGCTCTCAACAGGCAAAAACTCCTTGCACTGTATCATTGGGGGGCAAAATTCTATTTCATGATTATTCATATTTTTCATTTTGAAATGTAACTATATATATATATATATATATATATATATGTAGTAGGTCATTTTGGGACGGGGAGAGAGTTATTATGTTGGAAAGGATTATGTGTCATAAGTTTCAAAAGTAGCTTAAAAAAAAGAAAAGAAATGATAGTGCATGTTACTGTGAAATTAACTGGGGTATTATTCTGAGAATGAGGGGGAGACTACTGTACATATTATGTCTGTTTAGGAGCCTTTACAATATTTTCATAGGCATGTGCTTTTTATTTCTATTGGGGTTTTTTTGTTTGGTCGTTTGTTTGGGGGTTGTTATTTTTTGTTTGTTTTTTTGTTTTTTGGGGGTTTTTTGTTTGTTTGTTGTTTTTGTTTTTTCTGTTTGTTTGTTTATTGTTTTTGTTTGGGGTTTTTTTAAGGAGGGGTGGTTAAAAGCTGATTTACTAAGGATACAATAAAAAGCACACAGCGTTTTTAGGGTGGGACTTTGGGACAGTTTAATCTAGACTGAAACTCCCATTATAGCCTCACAAGTTTTTATACTGTGTTTCATGTTCACCAATTTGCTTACTGGCTATAATTTCTTGGATTTGTTCCAACATGGGCACCATGTGTTTACATTTCTATTTTTATTTCACCAGGATAGTGTTTTGCACACCAATAGCTTGCACAAATTAGCTTTTTTCAGTTTGCATCGGGCACTTATTTTTTTAATTTTATCATGGGATGAAGCAAAAGAAGTGAATCGTGATAAAACCAGTAAACAAATGGTTATTCGTGTTAATGTAATATATTGCGTGATGCCATGCTCACTTCAGTAGCAGTCGTAATACCTTGTGGTAGAGCATGACATACCAATTAGGGGGTAAAGATATGCGCTCTGATGACACTATGGTATTAGAGTTGTGCACAGGTGATATTGCAATCTGTTTGTACCGTCGTTTTTTCTTTTAAATTTGACTTTGACAATACGGAGAATTTTTTTTGTTGTGGTAAGTATAATGCATTACTACACCCGTGAACAACAGCTAAAACTACAACGACAATAACACAAAAACAACAACAACAACAGCAGCAATACTGAATTTAACATATTCTGATTTTTAACATGTGGTTACGTGTCTGTTCACCAGGACTACATGGAGCGTCAAGCCATAGAGATGGAGCGGGAGATGATCAGAGAAGAAAAGGCAGCAGCAGCAGCACTTCTGTCTCCAAACTCTGCGGGACAAGCGGGCGCCCAGTCACAGCAGCAGCAAAACGCCAACGAGCACACGCCTGTGGCTGCCAGCCTCTCTGTGCCGGGGACTGACCCTCCGGCTCACAGCCAGCTGGCCTTTCGCCGTAGCTCCTCCTTCAAGCTGTCTCGGCGAAGAGCAAAGTCTTGTGGGCCATCTCACAAACGCAAAAGCTCATTCCAGCGCTCAGGTTCTGTGGACCATTCAGCTCAGAAGGTTGATATTTCTAGTGCAAAAGAACTGGCATCCTCTCTGGCCACCACGAAAGAAGGAAGCAGTGCTCCAGTGATTACGGGTGAAATATTTGGTCAAACAGCAGAGGCTAAAACTGGAAAGACAAAGAGAACCTCTTCCCTGAGGAGGAAATTAAGTGTAGATACTACTGTGTTCGCTAACAAAAACCTTTTAGGAGTTCCGAGCTTTGATTCTCATGGGAAAAACCATCTAACTGTGCCATCAGAGGAGAGTCCCATAGGAATCAACTTACTTTCTGTACCTTCTGTCTGTTCTGATAGCACCCAGCATTTGAAGGTTCCAGAGGTGGAAATTGGGTTCCAAAATTCTCTGAGTGTTCAGTCCCCTGGAACTCCGAATTCACCTTCTGAGGATTCAACTTCGTCGTTAAATGGTGGGAAAGCAAATAGCATTCCCAGACCTGGTAAACTAATCCTTAAGGAATGCTATCCACCCAAAGACAACAACCGAAGTAAATCCAATTCACACATTATACCAGTGAAGCCCTTGATATCTGGGGCAAATGGCCCCCTGACCAGTGTGGAAGTGCACTATGCAGATTGCTCCAACCCTAACTCTTCTACAGACCTCCTCCAGCCTACAAGCAACTCCAGCTTGAAGGCGGATTCATTAGAAGTGCCACGTGCATCAGCGGAAGGTTTGAGTGATTTTTCTGATTCCTTTTACTTGAGCCAGAGTGAACTGAAAGGAAACGATCGCTTATCTTCGAAGCAAATGCTGGATTCTCAGGCTCAGAAACAGGATTCCTTTCACCCTAAGCTTTCATCAGAGAGTTTGCAACCAATTGCATCCTCACAGCACACTAAAAATCTCATGCCCAATTCTAACCATTTAACGATAAGCAGTTGCATGGAAGATGGAGCAATAGCTATGCAAATTGAGGACAAGTCAAGTTCATTGTGCGCCTTCAATGAAAATCGTGTACTTCTGGGAGCTGAGTGCCCTCCCTTCCGCTGTGACCCCAGTGGCAATGAGGAGGTCTCAGACCTTCAGAATCATTTTGACGGCTTGATGATGTCCTCTGACTGCATGGAAGAGAGCGACGACCATGTAGACAGCATGACTGAGCTCATTTCCGATTCCTTCAGACACACTATTCTGGCCAATGCCAAACCGAGCGCCAGCCCCGGGCATAATTCAATAGGGGTTGGCGCTAGTCCAAAATATGGCCACCAGAACTCCGCTCCTTCTCCTGAGGAAGAGCGTGCTCTGAGCAAGAATTCCTCGCGGAAAGGAAGTGGTAGCATAGCAAGTTTTTCTCGAAGCTCAAGATCAGGGTCAGGTCGAAAATCCGGCAGTGGAAAGGTGAAATCTCCAACTACTCCCAACTGGATGGTTCTGAAAACGCCTTTAGCTAGGATAGAAAGTTTCCACAGTGATGACTTCGAATGCTTGGCTGACAGTGACATTGACGATCGGCCTTGCTCCTCGGACTCCCCAATGTCTGTCACTACACCAACTGTGCCCTGTTTTGCCTATAAACTTCACATGATGAAGAAAAAGCAAACTAAGTTAAAAAATAACAATGCTAACAACAGTGGACCGTTGAGCAAAGCTGACCATGCTTCCAGTAAAATGAATCGGAACTCCACAGAGAAAAAGCATGCATCAACTGGCTCCGGTTCAACAAGGTAAGGAGCTTAGTTTTTACAAATGAATAATTAAATATGTAGATTTTGTTACACATTTTGAAATAATGGATTATGTTGTACGATGACTCTCCACTAAGAAGAAAAACGTTTCTATTTCTATCTTTCTCTTCTTCTTTACTTTCATCTTTCTCTTTTAAAGAACATTGCACAAGGGGTCTTTTCAGGTGCCGATTAATTATGAGACTCTTTAAACATTTCTCTAATCCAAGATCTTTTCTTAAATTATATACTTTATCTTTTCATGGAATAGATGTGGTAGAAAATAATATAAACGGTATAAAACATCGTATTTAACTATGCCTTTCTAGCAGAGTGGGATATAAATTGTCAGTTATCACGTGAATATGTTGGCCAAAGGAATGCAGCTGAGTATGAAGTTGGCCAACGATATAATATTATAATATAGGAGCTTTAGATTTGCATCTGACGGAGATTCTGATTGTTCTTGTCTTTCTAGGAATAGTTTATCATAGACCTTTGTTCTGTTTGGTATCTAATTGCTCTATATCTAATTGCTCTATCTTTTAGTTAGTATTTTTTAAATTTGTTTTGTAGTTGTTTGGTCCCAGCAAATGCGCCGGTGTCTGTTGTGTAGCGATTAGACTCTTTACCGTCGCACTCAAAAGACAAGAGTTCGATTCCCTTGTTGGAAGAAATTTCATTGAATTTCATCCGTCTTTTCTGTGTTGACGTATGTCCCTTACAGCCCAGGTTGGCCTTGACAGACAGGGTCAAAGCAGCCCGCCTCCTAGATAATGTAAATAGTGTCAAAGGGGTGTAAAACTCATACAACAACAATGACATATTGCAGCAAATGCCGAGCATTCGGCTCTGTGGTCGTCGTATTTTAATGAGGAGGAGGAAAGACACGAATGGGGTAGTACCTAAAGCAAGTGTCATGCATGTACTGCTGAAAAATGAGGGTTATGTACTCTTTTCCGCTCTTCGAGGATGGTTGACGAGTGCTCTGGTGTGGTTTGCTTCTTCTTTCCTACCAAACATCCATCGTCCTGACCTCTCCTCCCTCTTTTTTTTTTTTTTTTCTTTTTTTCTTCTTTTGTAATTCATCTAATCTTCGGCATTTATATGACCTTATTGTGTTGCAAGTGCTATAAGTTTTTCTTGCTTTTTTATATTTAAAACTAAACTTCCGCTGTTAGAAGGGTTGCGCTTCATGCTGGTGAGCAGTGGGTCAATAACCACCCTCACCCCCCTCCCCCCTTTCCTATTTCTTTATCAAACCCACTGTGGGAATGCTGAGTACACCTGGGTGTTAAATTTCAAGAACAAAACTGACTTGATCTAATTAAAACATGTTCAGTGTGTGGTAAGTATAAGTGCAAAGTACGTCGAAATGATAAGTAACATAAATGATTTAACCATGCCATAGGCGAACTGGCATCGGGTAAAGCCTTTGTGAGGCCCCAGGTGGAATACATGTTGAAGTGGTCGGAAGTGGGCAAAATGTCCTTATTTATACTCCGGGAATACGCTAACCCCGTATAATGTAGCAAAATTTGATCATTTTTTGCATCATTTCTGATTATTTTTCGTTATAATTCGTTGTTAAAATTAACAGAATCGCATAATTTCAAATTTGTGGGCATAATTTCAGGGTTGTTGTTTGTTTTGGTTTTTTTTTGCTTTTTTGTTGTTGTTGTTGTTGTTGTTGTTGTTGTGGGGTTTTGTGCATAAAACCACGGGGACAGACACGGGAACATTTGCAGAGAAGTGTCAGTACAAAACTAGCAGCCAAACAGAAGTCCATCTTTTACTCAATAAAGATGAAGCGGACACATATTATGTCGGACAGCAGCCGATCAAAAGCAAACTTGCGAGTTACTTCGAACCACCATACAGTCTAGAAACACAAGTTTACATATTATATTAGAGTATACTATTATTGTTATCTGTCCTTTTAAGTGCCAGATAAATTAAACAAAATTGAAAACTACGTAGGCTATGAATAACGAAGCTATGCTTCTTTTATTTTAGTACTCCGAAACATCGTGTCTTCAAGCGTTCGAATGTACAGAAAGCGCGTCTGCAATTAGTTAACTACCCTGCTTAATGCTCGAGACACTTAGATTAGATTGAAGTAAGTAATAATGGCCCAACCTTTTGCGAGGAGACCCAAAGACTCTACAGAAGTGCGGGGCACCTATGACGTGAACGACAGTCTCCGCGTCAGAGACAGGGCCGTCCATTCAGACAAGGAGGAAGAAGAAGAAGAAGAAGAAGAAGAAGAAGAAGAAGAAGAAGAAGAAGAAGA